TTTATTTATTTATTTATTTATTTATTTATTTATTTATTTATTTATTTTTTCCTATGACTTCGTCAAATGTTGGAAATTTCCTTCTGGTGTCGAATCGTATATCTGATCAAGTTTCACTTCGTATTGTATGTTCAGGCATCGTAAGCAGAGGTTATTACCTCCAGGCTTTCTTTTCCCAATAAAAGGAATAAAGAGTTGACCCCCCCAGGCCACCTCCTCATGTGGAGCTGTTTTAAGCCTGTGTGGCCGTTCCCCGTTGGCCTCACTCCTGGAGACAGGCTGAGGGATAGCTGCTGCTTTGTTGTGCTTTAATGGAGCGGCGGTGACCTTTTCTTTTTCTTTTTTTTATATATTTTTATTCAAGAAAGTACAAAGTGAGGTACATAAAAAAAACAGTAACATGAATTGAATTTGCTTTATGTTTTAACAACCAAACCCCACCCACCCACCCACCCACATTCAACAGAGAAAAAATAAAATAATAATAATAATAAATAAAAATAGAAAAAAAGAAACAAAGAAAAAAATAATAATAATAATTTAAAAAAAGAAAAAAAGAAAAATAAAAAATAAATAAAAGGGGGGGGACAACAGGGGACATTACATGCCAATAATACAACACTTGGACATCATCAATTATATTATGTATATACATACATGCACATATACACACACATATCTACATCCCAGGGCGGTGACCTTTTCACTGACCAGTGGTCAGTCTGCTTTGGCTTCTGCTGTGACCACATGAGGCTGTGTGCATCAGTACAGTAGGAGCAGGCATGTTTCCCTCCAGTGGCTTCTCTTCCAGGGGGGGTGTGCGGAGGAGTGCTGCGGACATCGTGGTGGCTACCCCGGGCCGGCTGGTGGATCACATCAACAACAACTCCGCATTGAGTCTGGAACATCTGCGGTTCCTGGTGAGTCCTCACACCTGCGTGGCAGCAGATGGATGTTTACTAGGGATGGGAGGGTTTATAAACCCGTCTGAACCGTTGGGTTCTGTCTGGGTTGGGTTGGCGTGTGTTGGTTGGGTTCCTGCTGCTCCTTTTTCTCAGAGGGAAGCGTTTACACTCCAGA